AAAATACTTAAGTCTAAGCCAAGCGTGGATAATGTTTTGGCGTTACAGTTTAAAGTTAATAAAAATGTTTTCTCATAAACAAACCTTAAATTCACAAGCTCCTTTGTTTTAAGCGCTGTTCAGTTTTCTTTGCGGTAAGATGTTGTTCGATTGTCATTTTGATGTCATGGTTTGCATGTACATGCCACGGCAGGAAGTACTGTAATCGGTGGAACGCATAAGTTCAAAAAAAAGTAGAAAGCATTGTGGAGTTCCATTTTATTGATACAAAACTTAGAAAAATAATAAAAGAAAAGTCAACTTTTTCAGTTCGCTTCAGGCTGATTTTGCTATACACTTTAATTTTGTTCCCAATCTCCTTTTTGCTTCTAGCATGTCCGGCAAACATGTGCGGCCTGGTTCCTTTAGTTGTCTGGTTCTACTTTATTTGACTACACTACCAAAAGCCATTCAATGTGAAATACAGTCAAACCTGTATCAAGCGGATCCCGTATTAAGCGGAGACCCTTTATTAACTGGACAGTAGCAAAAATCTCAAAATTTATCAGTTCCCTTATTTACTGTAAATAATACCTAACACCCTCGGGGAATGCTCTAGTGTCCGCTTAATACAGGGTGTCCGCTTAATAGAGGTATTATTTACAGTAAATAAGGGAAATGATAATTTTTTAGACTGCAAGTAGTCTCTATTTTTCGCTTAAGTCCGTGAGGCGAACGCGCGATTTACGAGTGGCGCGCGCCGCGAGTTGCGTGGGCGCGAGAGGAAGCGAAAAAATACGCGCCCACGCAACTCGCGACTACCGATTTCTCGAACCAATTTTCGTTTCCGTGGAGGTTCGAGAAATCGAAGTTCCACTGTATTAAGCAGACATCCTGTATTAAGCGGGCACTAGCGCATTCTCCGAGGGCATTTAGGATGAGCCCGGTCAATAATGTGATAACATGACTCCTAATACATCCTGATATACAAGACTAGATGGCATTACAACGCTAATACTCATCGGATCTGAGTTAAACTAAGCATGACAGCTTCAAAGTTGTTGCACGCCAGATAAGAAAAGCCATGTGGAGAAATGTGTGGAAACGTATTCACCATCTAATGCAGCGGAACTGGACCTCGGGGAAGAAGTACAAAATAAACATATGAACACACACTCATTCAAATGACAATGACCCGAGTTTCTCTGATCGTGCCGTCAGATTCAAGTTAGTAATTTCTGCGGACTGGTTCGTTCCTACGTCACTCAGCCGTCAGAAACTGGTGCACGCTCCTTTATAAGAAGAAACCCTTGTGGCACGTGCCTTTGTTTCTGTAAAGACATTGAATGGAGGAAAAATGTCACTTAGTTTACGATCTAGCAATTTAGCGTGCATAATTGCGAATAATGCGAGCGCATTGGAAGGGTGTTATATAGCTGTTTCGAGAAAGGTTGTCGTAAAAAGCGCACGCGACAATCCCGAAAGGTATTGTGGGAAGTTTTAAGCTCACGGTTCCTTGACTTCAGCATTTCAGGGAAATCTGAGAAAATGGCACGAGACGCCATGGACGTATGTTTGAGAGTGCTAAAAGAAAGCAACACAAGTAGGTTCGACAGCTACAGTGTCAGGAACGCCGGTACCTTGCTGATCATTTCCCAGATTACCTTTCGGGATTGTCGCGTGTCGCGTGCGCTTTTTCCCGACAACCTTTCTCGAAACAGCTGTATGTTGTCCCCCTAATCGCTTGCACAATCTGATACAAAGACTTTTCAAGGGCTCGACGGAGGATTATAAATTTGTCGTACGCATATAATGAAACAGTTAAAAGAGTAGGAAAATACAGTCGAAGCTCTCTGAGCGGACACTCTCGTAAGCGGACAGCTCTACTTACGGCCGCCTTGACAAAACCCCGTTTGAACTCTAGCTCATACAAACTCTGTATTTACGCATTGCCGCAAGCGGCCAGCTCCAGTTGCGGACACTTTTTTTTAGGGTGTCGCTTACTTACGGGAGCTTCCACTGTATAAATCAATTTCACAGTTGCTACATACTAAATTTTCAAACAGGAACTAGCTGTCCAGAGGGGGCGGGGGGGGGGGGGGGGGGGGGGTAACCTGCGATGGACTAGCCGATCCCATCGAGCGCGGCGGGAAGCGCAATACTCCTAGTCGGCTTCATGCTGCAGAATCTGGGGTAAGCTCCGGCGGTGTGGGCCAGTCATTTGGCTTGTCTCCCAAAACACTATCAGTCTTCGGCTATTTTTAAGATTAGGGTCTGGGGAGAGTGTACGGTCTCGCGAGGCACGCGCGCGAGCATTAGCATTTCGCGCACTTCCTGCCAGACAGGCTATGATTATATTTTTGTGATGTGATGATAATCACAATAAATTGAGTACCGCATACCAATTCAATTCAACCGGAAAAATATATATACTGACCGTTAAATGTTATTTCACTCTAGCTGTGGTGCAGACAAGTAGTCACAATATATTGGCCATTTTAAAACCTGCCCTATTCTATTTCCGTAGTACTAGCCTTGTTATTATTAGCCTTGTTATTTTAGGCTAAGGGCTTGCGCGAGAAATTTCTATTATATCTGTTGCTCAAACAAGGCTAAATCAGTATTTTCAAAAAGGTATGCGGACTATTTTCAAGTCGACTGCGGACCTGCGATGGACTAGCCGATCCATCGAGCGGCGGGAAGCGCAATACTCCTAGTCGGCTTCAGCTCCGGCGGCGTGGGCCAGTCATTTGGCTTGTCTCCCAAAACACTATCAGTCCGAAATCCGAAAGGTTCGTTATCGTCACATCAAATAAAGTGCGGAAGTAGATGACTAAGTAAGGATTGTTTTTAAAACTGAACTTATCCGCTATGTGGGTAATTTTAAAAGTCTCTTTAAAATTTTAATCTATTATAAATGTTGCGGAACTTGCAAAACTCGTTAGAAAACAGTCCTAAGGCTTTGAAACTACAGGTTTGTCTTCCCTTAAAGGAGCTACGTCACGGTTGGCGCATCTTGAAAAAATTGGCCATTTTTTCAAGTTCGCCGTTCGCAATCCGTCTTAATCTTCTCCATCCTCAACCATCCTTGTTTCTGTTTGGTTTCTTATCACCTCTCTGGTGTTTTTCTAGTAAACTATTATTTTTAGACTTTCTTCGATTTTAAGGAGATTTTGCACTTCGCAAAAATGACTTAAAATATCGTGACATAGCTCCTTTAAATGGCCACGAAGTCTTGGGAAAAAATCGCTTTAACCCAGTTGTTGCGTACGAACATCTTCGAAATTTCTTGTAAAATCGGAGAGAAATTCAATTAACATGTTTGCTGTTGGTCTTTTCGTTGTCTGGAATCAAAGAAAAAAAATTAATAGTAAAACATGAAATTGATTAGTTATGAATAATTTTTCGTGTTGACTCGCGTTTAATTTTACTTGATTAATACTTGGACTTTATCACGATTGTCTTTCAATTTGTAAATTTTTATTAAAGAACTGAGGTAAATAACACATGTGGACAAGAAGCTGGTAAAAATTAATAACATTCGCGTTGTAAAAATTCGAAGACGCAAGCACCTCGTTTTGTGTCTATAAAGGCCTTTTTAGCCGGAAGTAAAACATAAAGTTTCATTTCCGTTATCAGATTATTGTATGTACAGTGGAATCCCGTTTTCTCGAACCTCCAAGGGGAACGAAAATTGGTTCGAGAAATCGGGAGTTAGAAATATCGGGGGTAAAATTACAGCGAAACAAATCCAAGGGAAACGACTTTTGGTTCGAGTAATCCGGCGGGATTTTTGAGAAATCGAGGGTTCGAGAAATCCGGATTTCACTGTATTACGTTTTTAAAAATAACTGCACTGATTTTCAGCGCAAGAAAATAATACTGAGTTTTATTCAACTCTACTGTATAGAATTGAGTGATAAAAATCATCTTTTTTCTCTGCTGGGTTTATTCTCTCAATTGTATTGGCAATGTTTGCGGTTCAATTCCATCAAAGTAAACATAATAACTTACCACTGCACAGAAGGTGGCCCATAGCAAGAACGATCCAGCCCGTTGCCTTGGTAACCAGTGCTTTTCCTTGAGTTGTGAAAAGTTGCGCCCGATAGGGAATCTCTTTCTAGATGCCGGCTTCTGTTTAGTTCTCACACACAAGTGGCACGCATGGCTTATTTCTCGTCAATATTTGCGTTTTCCTCGTTTTTCAGTCAGCTCCAATTAGAAGGACTAGAAAACGCGACAAAGGAAATACAGTATTTTGTCATTGACTGGAAGTGTCTTTTCAAAGTTCGAAAATTTTCAACAAAACTTCTGCGAAAGAGCCTTTATCCAGGCAAAGCGCATGTGTGACCTACAATTGACATAAAGTTTATTATGCCTAGCACCTAGCACTGACTGATCACTCTTAAGACTATTGACACAGTACATATGCATTAAAAGGATTTTACAAGAGTTGTGATATAAATCTGCACCCCGACCAAACGGTGGCTAACACTACCGGAGCTTATTGCGTTTCCAGTCTCCGTCTTCTCGAAGCGATCAACACCTATTTTCTCCTTACAATATCAATACATTGTCAAATAGACAGATGACGAGAATAAAGAAAATCATCAGCACTGAGATATTGTGTTGATGTACCACGAAATTCTCAGAAATAACACTGAATTCAATATTTAACAGTTATTCCACGACCCGAACGTTGATTAGCCTCCTCGCAGACTTTCTTTTGGCTCGTCACGCAAGGAGGCTGCGAGGAGGCTAAACAAGCGAATGGAATAACTGCTTTACTAAATTCTTCATTAACTTACTTACTACTACTTCGGTATTACTTGAGAAACTTGAGAAAGATATTACCCAGTCATGATATTCTGTCAGTGCCACAAGCTACTCAGTAAAGCCTCGCCGCCGGTTTCCATGATCGCAACGATCGCAGTCTCGCTGCGATCACGGTTGCGACGTTGCGACTGCGATCGTTTCGATCGTTGCGATCATATGGAAACCAGGCTTAAAAGAATTCCGAGTTCTCCAGAACAGGAGTCGAACCAAAAACCATCGGCACACCGGACAGACGCTCTACCACTGAGCTCCAGGAGACTGGTTTTTGAATAATTTTTTTTTAATTCCAAATGCATATCACTACAAATAAAGTACAAAGGCCTTCGTAGTCATTTTCTTAAATTTCCAATTTAAACCCAACATTGCGTGAAATGTTGTAAAAAGCGAGCCTCTTTTTGCAACATTGCACTCACCAATTCACCTTAAAGGAAACGAGAAGCAATCTGGGGCGAGTCGCATCTCGCAGGCGCTTGTGGGACCGTTACTGGGGACAATATGGCGGCCAGCTTGACGACGCGTTCCCAGTAACGGTCCCACAAGCGACTGCGAGATGCGACTCGCCCCAGATTGCTTCTCGGTTCTTAAGTGGCGAATTGCAGTGTGCCCTGAGCGTCAATGTGCGCAATTACCGGTGTGGTACAACTATTAGGCATTACCAGAATAAATCCTTCGGGCCAACATTTAATTTATTCTGGTATTTAATGTCGACATTCTCTGTGTAATGCGTTGAAATTTAAATAAATGAAGAAATGCTCTCACGAGCTCTCACGTCGAAATACTCAGAAAAAAATTCTGAGCTCCCCAACGGGAATCGAACCAATGACCTTCCAGGTGCCGGTTGGACGCTCTAACCACTGAGCTATGGAGGACTCATGGTGAGCAAGGCCATACAACTAGGTTCATATGTGACAATATGAAATTTATTGTCAATTTTGATCATTCGTTGTTTTGCTTGGACTAATTATAGTGTGTGGTTACTGACGTATCGAGAAGTACACGTCACGCGAGTGTGGTTTTTGAAACGGATAAAGTTGATAAGCCTGAACATGCGCCGAACCGTGAAACACTGCCTTTAACTAGTAAATTTTAAAGCTGCCAAGTTTGAGAAGTTTGTACAACTCTCAAATGCGGAACTAACTTATGTACTTCTTTTATAATACAGTAAAAAGAAAAAGAAAACTTTACAATTTGGAAAGGTTCTGAAGGTTTATACTAATAAAATATTGATTTGACAAAATGTTGTGTATTATATATATTCCAGACCTGTTTCTTAAACCCAACACGCATTTAAAACCCGACTTCACAGGGATTTTTTATTGATTTTATCAACTTCTATATGTGACGTCCATCGCTGTAAATTGATATTTCATGGTTAATTTCTCGTTTTAATGGTTAGATGGTTGCTTGCTGTGATCTCTAGCTGCGAAAGGCAAATTGGAAACTTATTTTAAACGAAAATATTTTAAACGTAAAAATATTGATTCGCATTATTCAACTTTCTGCTGAATAACTAACCACCTTTTAAAGTTATTGAATCGAAAAATTGTGAATTTCGCCGTCGTTTAAATGTTCCTTAGCCACAAAATTAGTGAAGCTTCATTTGCTTCATCGTACTATAATTCTCCCCACTGGGGACGTTTATTCGCCACTTTAGAAACGAGAGCAATCTGGGACGAGTCGCATCTCGCAGTCGCTTGTGGGACCGTTACTGGGGACAAAATGGCGGCCAGCTTGATGACGTGTCCACAATAACGGTCCCACAAGCGACTGCGAGATGCGACTCGCCCCAAATTGCTTCTCGTTTCTCATCGGCAATCTTCTGTAATATTCGAAAATGCTCGGAAAGCTTTTGGAAAAGTTCGCGTGACCTTCGGATACTCTTCGAAAAATCTTCTAAAATGTTCGGTAAATGGTCGGAAATCTTCGATCGGAAAATCTTCAAATCTTCTTTATTAGTATCCGCGTACCATGCATTCTTCTCCATATTTACTTTTGCAAATCGCGGCTCCAGTCACTGGTATCTTCCTTTTGTCAACAGCAGTCGTCGCTCGCCATAGAGAGCTTCATATATTAAATACCATTTTTTATTCAAATTTAAGGAAGCCTCAAAATATTAATTTCCAGTTATAGAAAAACACCAAAGAGGTCATGACAAACAGAAAACGAACATGATTGGCTAATACTGAGCAAAATTATGACGGATTACAAACGGCGAACATGAAAATATATTTAGGCCTTGCTAGGATGCAATAGCCTTGACGTAGCTCCTTTAAGGTTATTCCATCGAAATAGAAGTTACACTGGGAAGTTTCTGAAACTTTCCCTAGTTGAACATTGTGATGTAATGTTTCAAAATATAGAATAAAAAGAATAGGTCACCAGCCTCGCGAAAGAGATATAATCGACTAAAAATCCCACATAATTCCTTACAAAATCAACCAAAAACCCGTATTTTTTCACGTTTTAAGTGATTATTAATATTTCTGCACTGAGAATTGGTCTATACTCCTTGTATAGAAAGAAGATGATTACTAGACTTAAATATGCGAAAAAAATGATAGGTCACCACGCTCGTTTACGAGAAAACGATCATTAACCTCTTTGGCGAGCATAGCCATAATCGGAAAAAGCCGCCATGTTTTTAATGTACGCGCGCTAATCACACGCGAAATTGTGCGCAGAAAGGATGCGCAGTGCAATACTAAGGAATGACCTTAAGGCAATTAATATTCCTTGTTGATCAGATTTTTTATTCTCATGGCTTATGGACCGAATTCAAAAAATGGCTGCCAATTTAAATTTATTTTGTATGCATTTAAATTAGCCTCACTAACCTCGTTCTAGAGTAAAAATTATTTGAATTATCAACTTAAAAACGAGGTTAGTGAGGCTAATTTAAATACATACAAAATAATTTTAAATTGGCAGCCATTTTTGCATTCGGTTTATACTGTGTTTAAAGAGATATTAGATGTTAATCGATGTTAGAACTAAAAGGGTTAAAGATGATTTCCAGTCCGTGCTGCGCAATCTCCGCCGCAATGTTTACACGAGTCTCATACGAACGAATGTAAATACTAGCCAAAATAAAAATTCCGGGACAAACTTACCTTTTTCTTCATTATTAACGCCAGATATCCTTGCCAAACAATAATAACGAGTTGAAGAACCTCGGCGTTATCCCAAACCGACGTTTCAGCTCATCGAGCATTCCTATTGCACAACGACTCGTAATGGCGGACTAAAAAACTTCAAGTACGCTAATACCGAAGTGTAACGTATCAACAAATTCAAAACAAAAATGGGAACAAACCCTGAGCATGCGCAGTACGGACTGGAAATCATCTTTAAGGAGCGTACGTTTTTGGCAGTCAACATCTGCTTAATATCATGCAATAACTGGATTAATAACTGGCGGGTAATTCACGTTTATGGACACTGATCAAATTGCGTTCAAATTGCCGTAGAGGCTACAATTTTTATTTGGGGAAATTATTATGTTTCTTCATTCTATAAGGCCCGGCCAAACGCAAGCAACATTTCGACAAAACATGGCGCAACATTGTTGTGCACAACATGTTGCACACGTTTGGTCACACTGTTGCAATAAGTTGCAGCATGTTGAATGGCGCTTTGAAATCAGCAGCGAATCGAACTAGCGCGCATGGTCGGTGCAACAATGTTGCACGAACGTGGCCAACGAGTACAACATCATGCAACGTCCAAAAATGTTGCACGGAAAATATAATGTGAACATTTTCAAACTTGATCCAACGCCATCCAACATGTTGCAACATATTGCAACAGGGTGGCCAAACGTGTGCAACATGTTGTGCGCAACAATGTTGCGCTACGTTGCGCTGAAATGTTGAGTCCGTTTGGCCGGGCCTTAAGGTTTAAATTTATATATAGGTTTGGGTACTTAACTCTAAAACTGTGCGCTTGCGAGGCCTTTTGCGCAACGTGATCACGAAGGTTTACAGTAACCTTAAAGGGACACTGTCCCGGCGTATTTGCTCAAAACTGTTATAAATGCATGAAATGGTCCCTAAATCTATGAAATAAGAACTTAATAAACTCTAACTAAATGATAAAAAGTAATTTCTTCAAGAAATTCCATACTGCAACAAAATATTTGCAAAATTTCAAAGATTTCCGAGCCAAATTTGAAACTTTGAAAAACTGACATCCTGATGTTTTTTCAAAAATCCATATTGCAATCCATTTCCATCCTCGCTGTCGTTTGTCATCCTCACTTCCTAATGGATTCCTGTCATTTGTCGAGTGCTATTCTACAGAATTAAACCATTATTGTTCAACTTCCTATGATCTAGATATGTTTCTGAGCTTCCCAAAATCATGTTAAAATCAGGACAGTGTCCCTTTAACTGGAGACAAAGCGAATTCAGTTTCCTTTATGAATATCCTTTTATATAAAAGGAACTCGCCAACAACTCGCCGGGTGTTTTAAGAATCGCAGTCTCAAGTTGTTTCAAATTGAACTTTGTGGTAGGACAACAGCGGCAGATGGTAAAAATCTAACGCACTTGATTGGTTATCACGTGAAATGTTATGAATTTTCCCCACTGGAAATTGCATGATGAATTTTACGGAGTTGTTTTTCAAAAATGTCAAAAAAGGAAACCGGTAACTGATTGTTGAAACTTCCGAGAAATTATAAACTGAATATATCGAGTCAATTTCTTAATAGATATTACAGAAAAATCCACAAGCGTCGCTCAAATAGCATTGTTAATTTACTTGTACAACACGGCGTGCCAAAATTAATTTGTTCGTGCCGTGCATTTATTTAGTTCCATTTTTCAATGCTGAGCAGAGTGGAAGCCAAAATGAGTGTGGGCAGTTGCGCGCATAATCAGCAGAGAGCTATTGTTTCACGGGTGTTTATTCCATTAGCAATAAGTTTGCAAAACAGTCTATGCCCGTCAGGTATTTAAATAGTTTTCTTTTGGGGAGACAAATTGTAATTTGTTCCCATTTTATTCGACAACCCACCGCGCTTTTGTTCCTCAGCGCAACACGAAGCAGTCGACACTGGAAAACACAAATGGCAACATGTCGCGGTCCACCGCTCTTGGATTTCGCGTCTTCTTCGCTTCTGTCGTAGTCTTCTCTGCATTTTGCAGAGCTCAAGGTATGTCCGAGTGTGTCATGATGTGTCTTGGTGGTTTAAGAAGCGATTTACGTGTGATAAGTCTAAAAATATGATGGCTTTGCGATCGCAGACACTTAAACGT